CATTTTCTATTTTGTAATTTAGCCTTATATAGGATTTATAATAGTCGGGTTATTTTTCAGTAGAATGGATGAAAACTTCATTAAAATGTTAATCCTTTACAAATCATTATTTGTTCCTTTATTTTCCTCAAATTGCTGCTTGTCCTCTAATTTTATTTGCTGATTTTAAAGTAAGTTAAATTAAATTAAATTAAAATTTGTTAATTTTATGTGTTATTTATTTCATCTGTTGAAAAGATATTTAAAGTCTTTAGAGCCCCAACTTATTTTCTTTTGTGATTTTTTTTTACTGATTTATAAGCTCATTAAGCTTGTTCTCATTCACAAATTACATTCGTTTGTACGAGGGTACTTCAAAAAGTTCATGGAAAGATTCATATTATCTTTTAATTTTATTTTCCATAAACTTCTTGAAGTACCATCATATTTTCTTAGATACATTCAATAATTTCTTTTATTTATATTTTTCTAGTATATGCTTGTAGCTTAAATGTGTTCTATTCATTACTCTTTGATCCATATGGCAGCTATATTTTATGTATTGTGAAGCAAATACATTTATACATTCTGAAATTTTTAATTAATTTCAGAGTCATATGGAATAATCTTTTTTAAATGCTTCCTTTATAAAAATTTTAATTTTCATCTAAATTAGATAATTTTCTATTTTTTTAACCTTTGCACCAGTTCCACATCGTTTAATTATTGCTCGAGTTGAATATTTCTTCTTAACAATTTTTTCAATATATTCCTTATTATATTCAACCTTTATTCTCCAAGTTGAACATCAGTATCATTTTGCAAAGTTTCTTCTACTACCACTGCCCCCCCACCCCCGCCAAGTCCTACTGGTATTTGATTTGGAATTAATTTTAACAAATTATTTGGTTAAAAAAAGACAATTTTTCAATAGTCTTCTTTCAAACCAAAACAACAATCTTTTTTTTTTAATCAACAATCCTATTACCTTTATCTTTTTAGTTATTGCTTTTTGAACTTCCTATCATAGTACATTGGATCTCCGCAGCAATCCTCATCACCTGGGTCATCATATTCATCTCTTTATACTTTCCCTCTGAGTTCTTATGAAAGATTTCAGGATAGTTCTCTAATTCAATGTTTAATTTTCTGTAACATCCAATTTGCTGTTTAATGCCTTAATCATTTTTTAGATTCTTGGAATTATAGAGTACTCTGTGGTCATGTCCTTGGATGAAAACAGGTCTAATGACTGCCTGTGTACCAGGTGCTAATTTTCCCTTGCACAGGTATAGCTATCCATTGATCCACTTCCCTAAATGTACCTCAACTTAGGAAACTTAGGGACTTATTAAAAACCCCAATTTTATCTTCGCTCTCTACTTTCATGTGTCAAAAATAAAGTATTAGAGCACATATGCAAAAAATTTCAAAAAGCCCCACAACTTACGTGAAAAAAAAAAAAAAAAAAGACTGGATAAAATCTAAGCCAGCAGCCTCATCTCTAACTTCCCTTGACAAAATCCTATCCAATATTGCAAATCAGCTATTCTTCAAATGAACTTTCCCTTTCACCTGCAAGCTCTTTGAAGCTGGATTCTACTCCAAGGATATGGAGCATTAGAAGCAGCACCTGTCACAGCATTACTGTTGTCTAAAAGGTTTGCTTTAAGTTCTTAACACATGAACTTCTGAATATGGGGGTGGGGGGTGGGGAGAAGGAGGTGTACAAAATGCCTTGTACCAGGAACAGTCTCTTAGAAATTCCATGATTTTTGGCCTAAGATTATGAAAATCAGAATGCTAGCAAATGCAAGCAACAAAAGTGTGCTTTCTGTCCTAACTTCCTTTCCTTAGTTGATATTTTTAATCTCAACTCTCCAGTATTTATGCATAGTGGCAATTCCAAACAAGGTTCCAAGGGAAACTGACAAATTTAGACTTTCTCAAGCTCCTAAAGGTTTAGTTTCTTATAGATAATTTTACCAACCATTTACTGTTTATTAATTATTGAAAAAACAACTTCCCAATAGAGACTTGCTCTACTAAACACACCAAAAATGTAAATAAATAAACATCACTGGAGTTTACAAAATCAGGGACTAGATCACCTTACCAACAGAGGGCAAGTTTTGAATTGTCTTTTCTGGTTATATGGAGATAACATGAAGAAACAAAGATGACTTAATAGCAATCACATACAAAGAATTTTCTAGGGATGCTTAACTACCCAACTGGTCAACCAAACATTAAATATGGCACACATGTTAAGAATTCCTACTACAACAAATTAATGTCTATGTGAAGTACAAACCTTTTATCTAGTAGGTTACTTTGCTTTGGACAAATCCATAAATAAAGAAATTAATTCAAAATCTCTGTAGATGAAATAATAGGTTAAATGTGAGAGCTGACTTAGAAAATTATTTTTTAAAATATCTCCCAGTACTAATAATAATCTCTGTCCTTCCTAAAGTGGGATGTTATTAGAAGGCTTGCTGGTCTCCTGGCAGCCTTGACCAGTACTGGTGTGTCTGGTCCTTGAGGTAACGTCATGCTAGGTAGGGATGAAATATTTAAGGTGAAGTGTCACATGCCACAAGTATCTACAAAATATATTTGTATATTCCTTGGTCTATTGATTTAAGTCACAACTGATGAAAGGTGGATATTGAGTTTCCAGAGACTTCTTATGCCTGGCTTTGTATTAGATGTGCATAGCAACTGCAGTTTTGCCCACAATTAGGAGAGTCGGGTATAAATGTTAGTTACTATTCTTCCTACATTGTCCTCTAAAATAATCTCCATAATTAGTAAGGCCAGCAGAAGATACTCTTCTTCCATCTATTTATAGCATCTTTGAGTTCTTTGTTCCTCAGGCTGTAGATCAATGTATTTAACATGGGGATTATAACAGTGTGTAAGATTGATGCCAACTTGTTTTGGCTCAGGGAATCACCCGAGTTAGGATACATATAAACAAAGATCTCTAAAATAATCTCCATAATTAGTAAGGCCAGCAGAAGATACTCTTCTTCCATCTATTTATGGCATCTTTGATTTCTTTGTTCCTCAGGCTGTAGATCAATGTATTTAACATGGGGATTATAACAGTGTGTAAGATTGATGCCAACTTGTTTTGGCTCAAGGAATCACCCGAGTTAGGATACATATAAACAAAGACGCTTGAGCCAAAGAAAAGGGTCACCACTGTCAGGTGAGAAGCGCAAGTGTTGAAAGCTTTGGATCTCCCTTCAGCTGAAGTGATCTTCAGAATGGTGACAGTAATAGAACCATAAGATATCATGATGGCCAAGACAGAGGTGAATCTAAAGATCACTGTGAGCACAGAGGTCATGACTTGAAAGAAAAAGGTGTTGGAGCAGGGTAAGATCAGCAGTTGGGGCAGGTCAAAGAAGAAATGGTTAATGACATGTGGACCACAGAAATGGAGCTGAAATAAGGCACACAGTTGAATAAATGAACCAAGGAAGCCAGTTATACAAGATCCTACCACCATCTGCACACAGAGGTTGGAGGACATGATGGCTGTGTAGAGCAGAGGATTGCAAATGGCAGCATATCAATCATAAGCCATGGCTGCTAGAAAAAGGCACTCAGTCAGATCCAGGCGAGAGGAGAAGTACTGCATGGTGCACCCCATAAAGGAGATGAACTCACGTTTCTTGAAGAAGTTTGAGAGCATCTTGGGAGCTATGGTGGAAACAAAGCAGCTGTCCGGAAATGACAGGTAACTGAGGAAAAAGTACATGGGTATATGCAAGTGGGAGTCCATCCTAATGAGGGTGATGAGACTCACGTTCCAGGACACTGTCATGAGGTAGAGCCCTAGAAATATTGAAAATAGGATAATGGTGAACTTTGGAAACTCAGAAAATCCCAAGAGAATGAACTTTATAATTGTATTGTTCCTTCTCCCAGTCGTTGCATTGGTGATCCTAGGATCTGTATGGAAAGAAGAGAATAAATCTCCAAAATAGTTGTTATCCCAATTTCTGTTGAAATTCACCACCTTCCATACACATTGAACACAGAACCAAGTGAAATATTGAGCCATTTAAGAGAAAATAACCCTGCTTAATTTTTCCCTTAAATAAACATAATGGCTCTGTGCATCGATTTTCTCACATATAAAAGAGGATAGCTATACTTTCTATAATTAACCCATCAGTCCCTTGCAAGAACAAAAGAAAGCATATCGATGTTCAGAAGTCCCTTTTAAAAAGATGCTTTAGAAATTTTAAGATGTTATTAATGGAATTATAATTCCTGTGTACAGTTATGTGACTAAGAGCATGGATTTAGATGTCACACAGCTGTTTTTGGATTGTAGCTCTGCAGCCTGTAAGTTTTATGACTCTGAAAAAGGTATCTAACATCTTTGAGCCTAAGTTATTTCATCTGAAAAATAGGAATAGTGGAACCTATCTCATAGGGTTACATTAGTTCAGATATTTACAGTATCTGCCATGCACATAGCAAACATTGTTTCAAGTGATGTCATTAGGGGGATATCTATCTAGTATAGTTCTGAAGCACTCTTTAGGTTTGTGAAAAACTTCTTAATTTAAACTTTAGTTTAAACTTTTAAAGCGTCACCTAAATAACATTTTCTGACAACAGTGTGATTATTAGAAATTAAAAACAATTTGATAGAGAAATATGATAATTGGAAACTACATATTTCTAAACTACTATTGCATTGTTTCTAATTTTTAACTAACATAAATAAGTCTTCTATGGACATTTGTGTGCAAGTCATTGTGTAGACTGACAGTGTCATTTTTCTTGCTGGGTTTGGCTCCTGATACATGTGCCTTGGTGAAATCTGGGAAGTACTGCTACAATAGCTGCCTTCTACTGAAGTGTACTCTAATCCCAAAATATACATAGCATTTTTTCAGAAATTAGAAGCCACAAACATCATAACATGAGTAGTCAGCTTCCCTGAGCTTCTGTACTTTTGGCCCTGGCTCCTACTGGCCACTTTTGCAAGAGAGGTGCTTCCAACTAAAGATTCACTTAAATGTTTCCTTAGGGTTCAGTGTGGAGAGAGAAGAGGCAATTAACAGATGGCACCATTTTCAGTTAATTATTCTCCAGTGATGGATTGAGAAAACAAATGGAGAAATGTTCCTAGCTGATTGCATTTCTTCACACTATCATGTGCTCCTCATGGCCTAATTGAATCAAGTTCCCATTTTCCTTTCCAAACTTTTAGAATCATGAGGTCTGGGAAAAACTCTCAAGGTCGAGTGACCTATCATTTATTACCCAAGCTGGACAATTTGGGGCATGAAAAAGGTAGTTATTAATAATCATGTCTGGACAACAAGCATAAACCTGGATTGTCTTACAAAAAACAGGTTGTGTGGTCCCCCAATTTTTAAGTCTAAAACTGGCATTTATTGTGGCTTTGGTGATTATGTTCTCAGGCTGTTGGGCAGATTTGCGTAAGGTTGCATTCTGATTTCATCACTCATGAGCTATTTGAACTTGGTCAGTTTACCTAAACTCAGTGTGACTCAGTTTCTTAATCAGTAAAATGGAGGTGATAATAGAAGAGCTACCTCATAGGGCTATGGTGAATTTAAATGAGACAATACCCATTCAGAGCCTGGAAGCACTCAATAAATGTTAGCAATTTTATTATTGCTAATAT